CATGGTGGCTCATACCTGTAATCCCAGCACTTTGGGAGGCCAAGGTGGGTGGATCACCTGAGGTCAGGAGTTCGAGACCAGCCTGGCCAACATGGTGAAACTCCGTCTCTACTAAAAACACAAACATTAGCCTGGTGTTGGTGGCAAGCAGCTGTAATCCCAGATACTTGGGAGGCTGAGGCAGGAGAATCACTTGAACCTGAGAGATGAAGGTTACAGTGAGCCAAGGTTGCGCCACTGCACTCCAGCCTGGGAGACAGAACAAGACTCCATCTCAAAGAAAAAAACAAATTCAACAAATGTTGGGCGCAGTGGCTCACATCTGTAATCCCAACACTTTGAGAGGCTGAGGTCAGGAGTTCAAAGCCAGTTTGCGCAACGAAGTGAGACCCAGCCTCTAAAAAATTTAAAACTTGACCGGGCATGGTGGCTCATGCCTGTAATCCCAGCACTTTGGTAGGCCAAGGCAGTGGATCACCTGAAGTCAGGAGTTCCAGACCAGCCTGGCCAAGCGAGACTCTGTCTCAAAAATAAACAAATTAATTAATTAATTAAACCAAGGAAGCAAAAACTTTGTATGGTGAAAACTATAGAACATTCCTGAAAGAAATTAAGGATGACCTAAATAAATGGAAAGGCATCTGATATTCTCAGAAGATTTAATATTGTTAAAACAACAATATTAGCCAGGCGTGGTGGCTCATGCCTGTAATCCTAGTACTTTAAGAGGCTGAAGCAGGCAGATCACTTGAGGCCAGGAGTTCGAGACCACCCTGGACAACATGGCAAAAGGTATCTCTACAAAATATTAAAAAATTAGCCAGGTGTGGTGGTACACACCTGTAATCCTAGCTACTCAGGAAGCTGAGGCAGGAGAATCGATTGAATCCAGGGGGCGGAGGTTGCAGTGAGCCGAGATTGAGCCACTGCGCTCCAGCCTGAGCAACAGAGAGAGACTCCATCTCAAAAAAGAAAAAAAAAGATGTCAATACTACCCAAAACAATTTATAGTGATTAATGCAATCTCTCTCAAAATCCCAACAGCACTTTTTGCAGAAATAGAAAAACTCATCCTAAAATTCAGATGATATCTCAGGAGACCCCAAATAACAAAACCATCTTGAAAAAGAACAGATGGAGGGGAAAATTTTTTTTTTTTTTTTTTTTTTTGAGAAAGTCTCGCTTTGTTGCCCAAGCTGGAGTGCAATGGAGCGATCTCGTCTGATAGCAACTTCCGCCTCCCGGGTTCAAGCAATTCTCCTGCCTCAGCCTCCCAAGAAGCTGGGATTACAGGGACCTGCCATCACACCTGGCTAATTTTTTTATTTTTAGTAGAGACGCGGTTTCACCATGCTGGTCAGACTGGCTCAAACTCCTGACCTTGTGATCCGTCCACCTCGGCCCCCCAAAGTACTGGGATTACAGGTGAGAGCCACTGCACCTGGTTTATTTATTTATTTATTTATTTATTTGAGAGAGTCTTGCTCTGTCACCCAGACTGGAGTGCAGTGACACTATCTTGGCTCACTGCAACTCTCCGCCTCCTGGGTTCAAGCGATTCTCCTGCCTCAGCCTCCCAAGCAGCTGGGAGTACAGCTGCCCACCACCACGCCTGGCTAATCTTTGTATTTTTAGTAGAGATGGGGGTTTCACCATGTTGGCCAGGCTGGTCTTGAACTCCTGACCTCAGGTGATCCACCCACCTCGGCCTCCCAAAGCACGAGGAATACAGGCATGAGCCACCAGAAAATCTCCATGACACTGTATTTGGCAATGGCTTATTGGATCATGACTCCAAAACACAGGCAACTTTAGTAGAGGAAACTTCTGGAGGACTGGGCGCAGCTCCCCAGTGCGAGTAGGAGGAGGGGAGCACCAGACGCCACTCACCCCAGAGCAGCAGCCGCGTAGGCAGCGCCTGCAGAGCCGACTTCCTCGCAGTCCCTCTGCAGAGCCTCCTGGATGAGCTCATCCACCACCTGTTCCAGGTCCTGTGGAGAGACCAGCATGGGGTCGAAGGGAATGTCCCACCCAGGGCAGAAATCCTGGGTAACATGTTGTCACTGACAGTCTGCAGGTATCTGGTGACCAAAGCACATGACCCCTGACACAGGGTCAGCTAGACTGCTGCAGGAAAAGCGTCCCCTGGCAAGCGGAAAGCAGATGGCCGCAGAGCACCCTGGCCCAGACATCTCCAATCTACATCAGCAGCCTCCGCTTCTGTGGCCACTCTTATGCTACCGCTCAGGACTCCCTGATCCCAAGAGGGGCTGCGCCCAGTGCCTGCCCCTAAGCAGCCAGAGTGGCACAGTCCAGTCCCACAACCACAGAGTTAACAGGCTCTACTCCACAGTAAGGCACAGGTCAGGGGCCATGCCCACCCTGCAGCCACACACATCAAGGGGCACACCCACCCCAGGCCAGGCCCATCAGGGTGCACAGTCACACAGGCCACACACAGCAGAGAAAACACATCCACCCCAAGGCCACGCATATCAGAGGACACAGCCACCCCAAGCCATGCCCACAGGGGACACACCCACCCAGGCCACACCCAACAGTAGGGACACCCACTCCCAGCTAACACCCACAGGGGACAAGATCACACCTACCAGTGCGGACACCCAACCCCCCGACATGCCCACCAGGAAGACACACCCACTCTCAGGCCAGGAACACCAGGGCCGCACCTACCAGGAAGATACACCCACGCTAGGCCACACCCATTGGGGGGACACCCACCCTCAGCTATGCCCATGAGGGACACACCCACCCCCGCCAGGGGGCATACCCACACCTAGGCCATGCCCATGAAGGTGTACAACGCTGCCCATGATCCTGTCAGGAATAGACAGGTGCTGAGTTCAGACACACAGGGGCTCAGGCCAGTGCTGAGAGGAAGCTCACAAGATGAAGATGGGACTCCACGCTGAGCCTGGATGGTGGGCCCCAGACCTGTCACCTGAGGTTGGCTGACTCTAGCAAGACCCCTCCCTGAATTCTCCGGAGACCAGGCACCACAGCCCACCCCACGGAGTGAAGACCCAGGACATTAGTGCACAATGACCTAGAAGAGTCCCTACCTCATCAGAGTACACGGGCACGGGCTCTGGAGGAGGCAACTCAGGCTGCACAGGGGGCTGGAAGAGGCCAGGCGCCCCAGACATGTTCAGTGCCAGGATGGGAGGCAGAGGCACTGGCAAGGGCGCAGGGGCAGGGAGAGGCTGCGGGAGACTGGGCAGGGGCGCATCTCGCTCGAGGCCACACTCCTCTCCTCTCCCTCCACCTGGAAGGAAACACACAGGAGGAAACAGCGCTGCAGACACAGGGCGCCTGGCACCACGGAGACCAAGGTCTGCAGGGACAGCCCCAGGCCACCCACAGTGACCCTGAGAACTGGCCTGCCCTCCTGAAGACCAGCCACATGGGACACACACCACAGGGGACATGTCTACCCTTCAGGTGAAAGACAAGCCCCTGGAGGTGAGGGAGCCAGGAGCAAGGCTTCACAGCCCCTCGGTCCACTCCCAGTGAGCTCTGGGCATGAGGGAGCACCGCACCCCTGGGCCCAAGACTAGACAGATGCTCAGGTTCCTGGGAGGCATCCTGGCAGGAAAATGCAGCCAGTCCCCGCACGACGACTGTGGCTTCACTCACCCACTGTGTCCGAGCCGGGTCTCTGGGTGCCGACGGGCAGCTCTGTGGCCAGGCTCTCCCCAACGTACTTGTTCTGGGAGTTGAAGCTGCACACAGGGGTGTGACGAGGGATGGGGGGCAATGGCCCTCCATTCACAATTTCCCCAATGGACACCGTCAGCTTCCTGGTAATAAACACTGACTTCCTGGTCTTGGATAATCCCTCTGGTTCCAGGAAAGCAGACCGGTTCAGCTCCACACAGCTACCCAGACCACAAGAAGACACCAGAGGGCCGTCACCAGGGAAGAAGGCAGCTTTGCCCTCAGTGCCCCGCCGAGTGCTGCAAGCTGTTAGGCGTCCCACAGCCACGTGTAAAGAACAGAAAGCAGAGGCCCGGGTCCCGTGGCCACCCCTCCTGGAGCCTCTGCAGGTCCCTGGAACCACTGGGCCCAGCGAATTAACAGACACACGCTGACTCACTCCTGCCTCCTGGCTGCCTCACCCAAAGCCGCCTGTTTTGTGAGGGCAGACTGGGAAGGAGACAGGCCGGGGACAGGCAAGTAGATACAGGAGGCGGGGTGGGGAACCCAGCAGTGGGTGTTGAGGGTAAGCTGCCGGTGTCTGACAGTGGGTCTATGAGTCTCATCCTGGTCTTAAAAGACACTCTGGCCGGGCGCGGTGGCTCAAGCCTGTAATCCCAGCACTTTGGGAGGCCGAGGCGGGTGGATCACGAGGTCAAGAGATCGAGACCATCCTGGTCAACGTGGTGAAACCCCGTCTCTACTAAAAATACAAAAAAATTAGCTGGGCGTGGTGGCGCGTGCCTGTAGTCCCAGCTACTCAGGAGGCTGAGGCAGGAGAATTGCCTGAACCCAGGAGGCAGAGGTTGCGGTGAGCTGAGATCGCGCCATTGCACTCCAGCCTGGGTAACAAGAGCGAAACTCCGTCTCAAAAAAAAAAAAAAAAAAAAGACACTCTGACTGCTCAGTAGCAGAGAAGACTCCAGCCTGGCCTTCGGTGCCTCCATCCCAGCTGTCAGAGGTTGCCTGTCACCGGCTGGTAAAGGCAGTCAAGGGAAACAATAAGCCCTAACTTTTATCTTTAGGTTTGCTGACAACTCATGAAAAGGACTGATTTTCGAGTCAACAAAGAACTTGGTCTGAGCCCTCAATGGGCTGACAGCCAGAGTGTTGGGAACATCCCCAGCCATTCTGAGCCTCATGTGTTCACCTGTACAGGAGAGGAACGCACCTTCTCCAAGCCAGGCAGGCAGGCAGCACCCCCATGGCCCTTTATCAGAATTAGAAAGGAAACAGGAGAGAGGGGCCCACAGTTCCACGCTCAGCTCTCACCCGTCAGAAATGGTGAGGCCGTGGCAGGTGAGGAAGTCAGTCGCCTCTTCGCAGTCTTGGAACAGCAGCATGCGCACCACGCCATCCAGGGGAAAGACGGTAGATCGCTGTGTGCTCACCGTGTATGCAAAGTTGAGCGCCCGGAGAGCATCCCTGCGGATCTGAAAGGAGCAGCCAATGACTGCAGTCTCAGAGAAAGGCCCAATCAGACAAATGCAGTCAGCCTGTGACCACAGGAACGGCCAGCGTGGGGACATGGGCTCCTCCTGGGACTCAGCCCATCAGAAGGCGCTCTGGTAACATAGAATGACCCAAGCTTAGAGATCGCAGGCGGTCTGCTCAGTGGTGATGCTCAGGAATGCATGCCAAGCAAACATTCTCACAGAGAAGGACAGGCTGGGAAGGTTTTATTTATGAGAAAAATCATGAAACAAACCTTCCACCAACAAGGCCAGGTGAAGTCAGCTATGCAGCATCCACTCAACATGAAGGTGCTGCAGAGGACCCCGGAGACTACAAAATGCCAGGAAGAAATGAATCATGGCATTATAACAAAAGCCTTTAAAAAAAAAAAAAAAAAAAGAGGTCAGGTGTGGTGACTCACACCTGTAATCCCAGCACTTTGGGAGGCCAAGGTGGGAGGATCGCTTGAGCCCAGGAGTTCAAGACCAGCCTGGGCAACATAGCTACACCCTATTCTCCACAAAAAATAATTTTTTTTTAATTAGTGGGGTATGGTGGCATGCACTTGTGGTCCCAGTAGCTAAGGAGGCTGTAGTGGGAGGATGGCTTGAGTCCAGGAGGTCGAGGCTGCAGTGAGCCCTGATCACACCACTGCACTCCAGTCTAAGTGACAGAGGGAGAACCAGTCTCCAAAAATGGACAATAGGGCTGCGGGCCGAGGCTCACACCTGTAATCCCAGCACTTTGGGAGACCAGGAGGATCACATGAGGTGGGGGGTTCAATACTAGCCTGGCCAACATGGTGAAACCTGGTCTCTACTCCAACAATACAAAAATTAGCTGGGTGTGGTGGTGGGAGCCTATACTCCCAGCTACTCGGGAGGCTGAGGCAGGAGAACCACTTCAAGCCAGGAGGTGGAGGCTGCAGTGAGCCGAGATGGCACCACTGCACTACAGCCTGGGTGCCAGAGTGAGACTCCATCTCAAAAAAATAAATAAAAATTTAAAACGACAAAGGAAAAACATAAAAATGCTAACAAAAATTATGCTTGGGTGCTGTGGCTTTGGCAACTAAGCTGTTAGTTCTCTTCCAATGTTCTTTAATTCAAGCTATACTGACTCAGCGTTTGGCCTGTGCCTGGTACTGTTCTTAATGCTTAGAATACAACAGTGAACAAAACAAAATCCCCGTCCCCACGTAGCGGACATGCTAGGGGAGAGAACAATGCCACAGAAAACGAGCACATACAATACACAGAATGGCCATTTAGCATGGCAAATGGACGGGGAGAAGAGGGAGCGCTGGCGGAGGCCTACTGAGGGCAGCAGCCAGGCCCCATCTTGCCTCAGGGAGGTGCTGAGTTCAGACACACAGGGGCTCAGGCTGGAGCTGACAGCACCATGCAGTTTTGTGAGCGGGAACAGCAGTGGGAACAGCAAGCACAAAGCCTCTGAGCAGGGGTGCACGGGAATGCAGGGGCTGCAGGGGCTGCAGGGACAGGCGGGTGCCTCTGTGTACCACTGCTGGTGAAAACGGTTTTTCCATAGAAAAACGCTTGAATCATCTCTTTTGTTTATAGTTATTAAAAATGGCCTGGCACAGTGGTTCACACATGTAATCCCAGCACTTTGGGAGGCCAAGGTGGGCAGATTACTCAGGTCAGGAGTTCAAGATCAGCCTGGCCAACATGGAAAAATCCCGTCTCTATTAAAAATACAAAAATTAGCTGGGCATGGTGGCACACGCTGGTAATCCCAGCTACTTGGGAGAGAGGCTGAGGCAGGACAATCGCTTGAACCTAGGAGGCAGAGGTTGCAGCGAGCCAAGACTGTGCCACTGCACTGCAGTCTGGGCAACAGAGCGAGACTCTGTCTCAAAATAAATAAATAAATAGTTATTAAAATTGGTCAACATTCTACTAATGATCATCATATACACAGTATTAATTGTAAGTTTTATTTTTTTTGACAGAGGGTCTCTGTTGCCCAGCAGATCTTGGCTCACTGCAGCCTCAACCTCCCAGGCTCAAGCAATCTTCCCACCTCAGCCTCCTGAGTAACTGGGACAAGAGTGTACCACCAAACCTGCCCAGCTGGTTTTTTTTTTATTTTTAGTAGAGACGGGGTCTCCCTATGTTGGTCCTGAATGCCCGAGTTCAAGCAATTTTCCCACCTCAGCCTCCCAAGGTGCCAGGATGACAGGTGTGAGCCAACGCACCCAGCCAATATTAACTAGAAGTGGCAAGCTAAGGAAAACCTTTTCATTTGCTCCAGAACTTCAGTTGTCTGGCAACCTGCAGACCTGACAACAAGGAGCAAACCTGCAAAGGACTCTGACGGTGACATGGCTGTGTGTTTAGTCAGTTTACAGGAGGCCCTGAAGTGTGACCAAAGAAATCATCTAGAGCCACAGACGGACGGACCTAGGCAGGTCCTGAGGTCTCCCAGGCATCACCCTCCCTACACAGTGGCCACTGCAGGCTGTGGCAAGGAATCCAGGCCACCTCCCTGAACCCACTGCCAGAGTGGGCAGCACAGTGTGTGCGAGGTAAGGCAGTGGGTTCAAGGTGGCCCTGTTAAGGCAGGTGGCAGTCCTGGTCACATCTCCCTGAACTGATACATGGGGGGCCTAGAACCACAGGTGCCACAGGGGCTGCTCTGTCCTCATCCCCAGGTCCCATGGAACTGCAACGAAAGGACCAAGTGGAAAACCCGAGACACTGAGTTTCCTCTGTGCAAACCTCAGGGGAGGGACCAGCCTTCCCACTGCTCTGCAGCCCCAGCACGCGGCAAAGCACAGACACTGAGGCACCAACTGAAATAAACTTAGCACCATCAGCCTTACTCCAGACACTTAGATTTAAAACACGAAGAATTTCAAAGTCAGGGATTTTGTGTGTAGATATGAGGTCTCTGCTTTTTAGTTAGTTTTCAAGGATGATGATAGTGCTGAATTCAAACTGTTGTTCTAAAGAGACTTTCTTTTTTTTTTTTTGAGACAGAGTCTGGCTCTGTCACCCAAGTTAGAATGCAGTGGTGCGATCTTGGCTCAGTGCAGCCTCTGCCTCCTGGATTCAACCGATTCTCCTGCCTCACAGCCTCCCAAGTAGCTGGGACTACAGGCACCTGCCACCACATTCAGCTGATTTTTGTATTTTTAGTAGAGACAGGGTTTCGCCATATTGGCCAGGCTGGTCCTGAACTCCTGACCTTGTGATCCGCCTGCCTTGACCTCCCAAAGTGCTGGGATTATACAGGCATGAGGCACCAAGCCAGGCTGTAAAGAGATTTTTCTTATCTGAACTATAGAACAGTATTTTCCATTGCACAGCCTTTCTGGATGGTGACCAATGGTGCTAACCTTCTTAAACAGGGCAACACTAGAAACCCCTCCATGGGGCTGCCACAAGGACGACACAGCCTCAGCCTGAGACCAGCTTGGAAAAGCTGGGAATAGAAAAGCACTCGAATAGCACAGGAACAACCTGCTTTCTACCAACTCTGCAAGCACAGCTCATTTACTCACCTGATTAAAGTAACAGTGTAAAAGACAAGCATTCAGGTAAGAAGCTGACTGGACCAGTTTGAAAAATCTCACAAAATTATTACTGTTCAATGCAGCAAAAGCCTGAACAGCAAATTTCACCTCGGAGGAGTTTCTAACAGCAGGATGGAACTGTTGTACTTCTCTGTCAATTAAAGGAGAGAAAAGGGGTTGGAATGTTATTTTTCATAAGACAAAATTTTCATCAAGATAGATATAACAACAGATTTCATTGGCCAGATGCTGTGGCTCATGCCTGTAATCCCAAAACACTGGGAGGCCAAGGTGGGAGGACGGTTTGAGCCCAGGAGGTTGAGGCTGCAGTGAGCTGAGATCACATCACTATATTCCATCCTGAGTGACAGAGCAAGATCCTGTCTTAAATAATAATATTAGATTTCAACCATACTGAGAAGGAGGGTCTCGCTGGTGAAACATGCCACTAAATTCATAGTTTACTAACTTCAAAGCTACCATGCTTGGGCTGGTTTGATAGACCAAGGTCTCTTTCTGAAACACAATGAAGAGAATAAACAAATTCAGCAATTTAGCCATCAGTTACCAAAAAGTTACTTTAAATGAACGCCGATTGTCAGCTGTGCTAGACGGTAAAGCCTAAGAAAACAGAAACCTTAACTCTTTGTTCAGAAATGAATTGATTTTGACTGAATTATTCATGATAGGAAACAAATGCTTATCACAAAAAAATAATACAGCCATTCTCCATAACCAGTTTATCTACATGGCTTAATTTTACTTTTTTTTTTTCTTTTTTTGGAAACAGAATCTTGCTCTATCGCCCAAGCTGCAGTGCAGTGGCACAATCATGGCTCACTGCAGCCTCAACCTCCTGGCCTTAAGCAATCCTCTCATCTCAGCCTCCCAAAGTGCTATGAGGCCATGGGCCACCACACCTGGTCTTTTTTTTTTTTTAAGATATAGGGTCTTGCTTTGTCACCCACACTGGAGCGCAGTGGCATGATCACAGCTCATTGTAGCCTTGACCTCCTGGGCTCAAGGGACCCTCTCATCTCAGCCTCCCCAGTAGCTGGAACTACAGGCCTACACTACCACACCTGGCTTTTTTTTTTTT